GGCGCGCCCGGATGTTGTTGAAATACCATTGCATCCTCGCAGGCGCGCAGGCAGTGTACAGCACTTGCCGTCCAGACCGGTTCGGACCGGGAATGATTTTGTCTACATCGTCCGGAAAACATCGGACAAATGCTGCCATGGCCTCAATGCAATCCCGTTCGCATTGCCAAGGCTTCGCAGCATCCAGGCTGTCAAGGAGAGATTCTGCTTTGGCCTTTCCCATTCCTCCACTCAGAATCTGTTCTCGACGTGTCTTGGTGATGTGATCGAACGAAACATCCTGAATGCCGTTGAAAGGCCTGGAGTTGTAGGCTGACATGTTCTTAAAGCCCACGGCATTAAACTTTTGCATAATTGTTCTCAACATGGTTGACGCCTTTGTTCTTCTTCTGTACGTCCCATACTCAAAAGTCATGCATAGGTGGACAGGGTCCAAGCATAGCAGCTCCAGCTTTGGCATGACATTGCGCAATGTCGACAACAAATGCGCAGAAGGATCATCCGTGCACACAATCCGTGTTTGCCGGAGTCCATCTTCAGGCAACGACTCAGCAATGCGCTCGGCAATGGCGGGTGCCTCCTCATTTGGCGTTGGAGCCATGAGCAGTACACAGCCGGTTCGCCCACGGACTGTCAGAACCTGCCAGGCAGATGGTTTCTGAGAATGAAGCAAACAAATTTAGTTTAAACTTGACACCTTTGGCTTTTGTCTAAAAGGAGGCTAACAAACAGCCCGGGCACCTTGCGAAAGCAATCTTTCCCCGTGAAAGCAGCGCTGGCTCGTTCCTGCGGCCCTGCTCTGTAGGAACTCTGGCCGAGAATGGAGAGGCAACACTTCAGGGTTGCATCCACACTGACGGATTCAAATTCCGTATGGTGAACCGCCTCTGCCATAGATTGGGCGAACAGCTGGTTCACGGCGTCGGAGTAGAAGATGTCCTCCACGAGCGGCCACCAGTGTCGAACATGCTGAGGCAAGAGGCCCGTGAGCTTGCTGCCACTTGCTGCGAGTCTCAAAGCCAACCGGCTAGCCGCCTTAGAATCAACAGGGGTTATCGCTTGTAACAAAAACAGTCAATGTCACAATTTAAAGGAGCAACAAAGAGTGCATCCAAGGGATACATGTCTACAAGCTTCAGTCGAGATGCTTGCTTCATTTTTGCATTGCTAACCATCATCTCTTGGAAAAGCATATCTGCAAATCCATGCGTGTAATACAAGTTCTTGGCTCGACGGTACACTGTTTCGTTCTCAGCAACGTGTTGCAAGCTTTTGTACACGGGGCCCTTCTCCGTCAAGACCAAGCGTAATCGACGATCAAGATGATTGATGCTTCCATCCTCATTCCCAATTGATGTTCGCAACACGGCGGCGCTCCTGCGGAGGTAGCGAGCACTTGGCTGTATATTGCGGAGCTGGTCATCGTCAAACAAAGCCTGAATGACTCTGACTTGCTTGGTGCCACTGCAACAGAATTGTCGTTTCGTTGTATGATACTTTTGCACATGCTCCATCACACGAGAAGGTCGAGGGAATTGCCGGAACGGACAGAACGGACAACGGTGCATACTGCCTTCATGCACAGTCTCAGTGCTATCTAGGACTTCACCTCTTTCTTCTGCGAGCAACGCCAGCAACTCTTCGCCCACCTGCGCTATTGATTCATCAACATGTGATCCGGCCATGCCTTCATCATCAGAATTCTCCAGCAATCCTTCGCACTCACACAACATCTCCAACTCAGCACCGCCAGATAGATCGAAGCCGGCCTGCAGTTCCAGAAGAACTTCAGATTCTTGCCGGGGTTTTTCGCCTGCTTTCAGCATGCGAAATGTCACTAGGGAGGCATAATCAATTGACTCCTCAGCACATGCCTTGAAAGCATCTGCTGATAGCGCATATACTGTGTCCCGGACTAACACTTTGCAAGTTTCTTCGGCCATTACACATCCAAGGACGAGCGGAGATCCATTGTGCTCACAATGGAGTAGGTACTTCCCCGTCTTCTCAGCACAGAAACCAATGTCTACTGAGAAGGCAACATCTGCAGCTTTGAAACATTCTTTATATGAACGATGTGTTTGACCTCCTTCAATGTTTGCCTTATGTTCCTGTAGCCATGCGTCCAATGGTGACCAGAGGTCTGCAATGTAGGCCAGGCATGTAAGAATGCCATTTGCAGAGTAGTCGAAGCTGGAAGAAAGTGACAGAGTATCGCAAACACGTCCATCCCTTCCCAACAGCTCCGCGAGAAGCAGGTGCTTCTTCTGCTTCACAACCACCTGAAACCCAGTCTCTTTGGCAATCCACTCCGAAGACTCTTGACACATTGAAGCCGTGTCAAGCGCTCGACCCTGAATTCGGCAACCGTCGAAGTGAAGGGATAAATGCACGAGATCTTGCGTCATGAGGAATTGCACCCAGCTAGACAAAACTAGATCTTCAACAGCTTGGTACAAGTATGCTATCATGGAGTTGTCTGGCGATGGCTTGCTTCTGTCTGCATCACAGTGGCTGTAGAGATCGGGAAAATTTGAAATTGCAAGCCATTTAATCCAGATGGCAGCTTTCCGAAGCCCAACAATTACATCATGTTCCGACAGACGGCTAGGCGGACCGCCACCGTTTATGACTTCAAGCAAAACTTTCTTCCCTTCCGCAGCTGGCAAACCTAGCTCCTTGATCACATCACTGCGTGCCTCAGCGCATCTTTTCAATGCTTTTGCGGCATCATCCGGCATCTTGAACACAGGATCCAATTTATGGATGAGCTGTGACATCAACGTGAAAAAGGCATTTTCAATGTCCTTGGCTTCCACTTTTACAAAGCTAACAAAGGTTTAACTTTCAGGGGTAAGAATCATAAGCAAGAGAAACCCAGGAGAAAAACAATGCGAAAGCTTCCTTTCCAATCCAAGAAGCTAAGTCAATAGATTGAGGGCACAAGAACCTGAGAAGTTTCCGAGAGCATTGCTGTGCTCCTGGCTGACAAGCATACCTTCGTCCACGGATCAAATCTGAGCCTTGTCTGTACTTTGTCTTGCTATGTCGCAATTGCTGCTTCCCTGTGCATCTGTGACTGCTAGCCTGCCCTTCCAGGTCACCAGCCTCACCACCAGCAGCAGCGAGGAGCTTCCCAATCAACTGCTCGTTGGCTTCCAACTTACGCCTCCTTTCGACCAACGCATCGTGTCTGAGCTTGACCTCAGACGTTAACTTTCCGGAGCCTTTCCTCTTCAATGCAGCAATGCTGGCATCCAAGAATGCTATCATAGTGACGACATTGTGTTCTCTGGCAAGATGTTTGGAAGCAAAGTCCCGCAAGCAACTTGTGTGCCACATTTCGGGGAATACTAGTGCCGTGTCGTTTGAGCTTTTCAGATCAAAGACATCCTGCAAACTGCCTTGCCCCAGGACGCATGGAACAATGATCTGCTTTCCTTTGCCGCGCTTTCTTGCTATTTGCTTTACCAATAAATGCTCTTGTAGCTGTGTCAACATGCTCTCTTTGTCTAAATTGGGTGCATTCGAAGGCAGAGACATGGTCTTGAACTGTTGCAATGTGAACATGAAGAACCCCTTTGAAAGACATTCCTCCACAATGCGGCGGGCCACTGCTTCAGAACCTGTTTTTACACTTTCTGCTTGATCCTGGCTTAGTTGATCATCCACAGGGCCTAGCCCAGGAGCAGCGATCTCGGCACGCTGACGCGGTGGGAGCCCACAAGCGATTCGCATTTTGTCCTCTGTCAATCCCTGATCACCACCCAAATTGCAATATGATTCTATCATATGTATGCATTCAGCTCGTGAGTATGTATGTTCAAACGCGTGCTGCAGCTGCATGCTGCTGGCGATTGCTGGTCCTGAGACAAGGAACTCCTTCAAAGTTGGATCTTTTGGAAAGTACCCATCCAGCGCCGCATCTGTGTAATGCTCTTCCAAGTATTGCGGACATACAAATCGAGCGTGCGGACGCCAAAGGAAACTGCGCCGCAGGATTGATGGGAAGTTATGCTCAGATACACCCTTGAACTGCATCAGACGATTGACCTCCATCCTCTTCCATCCGGTAAGTTCAATCATGCGGGTGACATACCCGTACGGCCGCCTCCCAGCCATGCCATCTGCACTCATTGTCTTTTTGTACAAGTCTTCCCGCATTCGGCGTGAAGTTTCAGGCGCCTCCTGCGCTGTTAAGATAAAGCAGCCTGCAAATTGCTCAATCTGCTTCCGGAGCTCTTGCTCATCGTACCAAATATTAGGGTCAATGAATGCGTGATTGTGTCCATAAACCGCATTCAAGTGAGAACTGTATAAAGATTGGCCTACTCCACCGGGGCTCTCACCAATGAAGCATCGGTCAATATTCTCACCCCTTTTCGCGATGGCTTGGGCTGCCTGACAGCACAAAAAGACATCGAAGTTCCGCCAAAAGGTCTCGCGGAAAAACTTCTCCAAACGGCAGCTCGCAGCTTGGAGGACGGGATCCGGCAAAGAAGGCTTTAAGGCATGCGGGATCAATGTGTAGAGGTTGTTGTCGTGGCTTGGCTGCACAAATTCCACATTCTCTTCATTTGAATCATACACAACGCATATATCTTTGTACGCACAGCCAGCTTGCTTCTGGCAAGGCGTTTCACACCATTCAATCATGAGACCATATATCTTATCATCCATGACTTCCTTTTGCAGGGTTACGCTCAACTTGCTTAGGGCGATAGCAATGGATTGGGTCCACCCTCCTGCATCACCAGTTGCCGCCGCTTCTGGTTCCGCATCATCAACTTCATCAAATTGAGGCGCTCTGCGGCCGCGCGGAAGCTGCTTCATGAAGAGCGCGGCAGATATCCACTTGTCAAGTAGCACCTTTATATCTCCATTCGCATCTGCCTCCATGCCTTCTACCATTTGCACTATACTCTCCTGTGTTCGATCTACTGCTCCTTGGATGCTTCGAAAAAACCCTTCGACTTGAAGTATGAACTCTTTGATCCGGGCAACTGTTTGTTCCGGCGGGCTTCCGCGAAAGACTTGGAAAGCCCCGCAATCATGGTACAGAAAGCATTGTCCGTTGTGGACACGAAGGTAGCGGCCACCTTCCATCAGCCAGATCAAGTAAATATGTTCCCGGAGGTAGGCATCGCAGAGCCGCATGTGGGGCAAAACGCAAGCGCACGCCACCAAGCGCACAAGCTGCTCAGGCCATTGTGGCTTGCGAGCACGCACCTGCTTGATCATGTAGCTGCTCTGTTGCAAAAGGGAATGGCTCTGCTCAGGCTTTTTGATTGACGCCTGCTGCAGAGATGTATTTGCAGCAGCCCGCAAGCTGTCAAATTCTTTCTGAAACTTCGGCATGGACTGAGCAGCTCCAGGAAGCAAGCGGCGCTTCTTGCATTGTCTCAGATTTGCATCATCTACTTCTGGCAGTGGGTTTGCTCCATCATCCTCAAGAGCTTGACTTGCAAGTCCTTCAGGTTGCTGTGCTTCTTCCGGTCCCTCTGGCCCACCCCTCCCATCTCTCCTACTAGCCGCCTCCTCGGCTTTCGCCTGCTCATTCAGCCAATCCATTTCTTTCTCAAGTTGTTCCTCAAAATCTGATCCTCCAGACACATCAACAGCATGTGCTTTGTCCCGCCGCAAACTCATCACGACTTCAATCTCCTTGTCGAGACGCGGCACATGGTCGATGAAAGGCCGCAATTGTTGGTCGGGGTGGGTGCAAACCACTAGCATCATAGCCACCTCAAAGCCGTAGTATTTCTCCACAATATACCTGTAAATGTTCAGTTGGAGCCGGTAATGCCACCCAGCACAGTCCGGAACATGATCTAAAGGCGGTAGCATCGTCCACGGCGAAGAGAATTTCGATGCTAGGCTGGAGGTCCGCTTCCAGTCAATCAGTGCCAACTGCCCATTTGGGTTTTGTGCAGTGAGATCGATTGACCCAGCAATGTTCTCTTCCTCACCAAAAATAACCCATTCCGTGCGGAAGGCGCGCCACCCTTGCATGTCTTGTAAGAAGGTTTCAAGCATCGAGAATTCTGGACTTGTTTTTGGCACCACATATCCATTCACATGCGCTTCAAACCAAAAATGCATGTGGGTGCCTCGAAGAGCAGCATCAATTCGGTTGGCTTCCCACATGCGCTTGATTTCATGCGGGCCAAATACCAGACTCTGGACAATCTCTGGAAAGTTCGTCCGCAGGCTCTGGAGCCGGTTGGAGATCCATGTATCATTGCGGGGGGAGTCCAGGAGAGCAAGCACAAGGTCTGCATCAACTTGGCGGACGCGCTTCAATACAGTCTCTCCTAAGAATGGTCGCAAATAGCCTGCGCGAGGCCATCTGTCACCTGCCATCATATTGGAAATTACTTCGTCGGCATCGAATGGTCGTGCCAAGGCATGGATCAACCCAGTCACAGATCCATTGGTCTGCTTGCCACGGATGTAATACACGTGGCCTTCAGACTCGAACCGAACGTGACGGTCTCTGTCATGGGGGTGAAGCCATGCCAGAGTTGTGATGTCTACGCAGGGAGCAAAATGTTCGTGACGATAGGGAACCATAGCATCCACGCTGTCTCCCCGCAACGGCAACTCCATTCCAAGTCCATGCGACAATTGCACCAACTTCAGCATTTTGCGGGAACGGGCCACGCCCCTGTTCTCCAAGATTCGGCGGGTCACATCTTCTGTGCCACCTTGGCTCACATCTTCTGCGCCACCTTGCCTATCCTCAAAATTTGCGGGTCGTGCAAGTTCCTGCCGCAGGGCTGCTGACAGCAACAAAACGGGATTTCCTCTAGGCTGCTCTCTCTTGGGTTTGCGGTGGTTGTTGCTGAGCAAAAATCTTTGCAGAAGAACCCAACGATGACAGATGTTTGTCCCCATTGAACTCAATTTCTTTGGGGTGGTCTGCGGCAAAGGTGTGGCCAGCACTGAGAAGAAGAGGACAGCAGTAGATAGCTGCCTCGCTCTAGAACGTGCGCTGGATGATGTGTTCCTTGTGCTAAGAATGTCCAATAAGGACATGTCCTGCAAAATTTCTGGCCAAAACCAGGTGATGAGGGCACCCTCCAGCTTCACGACTTCGCCCTTCTGCAGCAAATTCAAAAACGTGGAGGCAGCAAACAGCTTCACCTTCCACTGTTCCTTGCTTTGCGAGACATCAAATGGCACCGGCAAAATCCAAAACAATCTCGGGAATTTCTGCAATGTGGGCTGGAGAGGCTCCACATATAACTGAAACAATTGCAATTGATGCCACACCCGGGGCCGATCTGCAGGGAGCGGATTGCGAAACAAGTACAAGTGCAAAAGGCGCTCCGTTGGTGCGTTTGACTCGGCCCCTCCTTGGAAGTCAGCTTCATCGTGCAAGACATATTCACAGAGCAGCTTGCGCATGCACTTGCAAAGCTTTTCCAATGGCCTGCAAGTTGTATAGGCTGACAAGGTTCGCAAGTTTAAGAGAAAGAGCATGGTATACGACATGTCATGCCAACAGCCTTCCAAAAGGGCACCCTTAGTGTCCACTTCACGGCCCCAAAGTAGCGGGACATCTCCTTCCTCATTGGGAGTCAAAGGGTCAGCCCCTGCCATGATCAGCTGTTTCACGAAAGCCACGTTCTCGCTGATGGCAGCAAAATGTAAAGCGGTTTCGCCATGCAAATCCCTCACATGCACATCAGCCCTTCCAGCCAGCAAAACCTGCACAGTCATTGGCGAATGTGTGAGAACGGCAAAATGCAAGGAAGTCCGGCGGTCATTGCCAGCAATATTAGGGTCTGCCCATGCATTGAGGAGCAAAAATGCAGAATAGAAGAAGCCGGCTGAAGCTGCAGTCACCAATACTGGCTCTAAGCGGCGAGTGCGGTCGATCAAGCCCATGCAATCTGGCTCTTGGCCATTACTGAGGAGGTCGATCACTGTATTGTGGTTTTGCGCTTGGATGGCTTTTGATAAGGCAAGTCTGTGACAGTTGGTCCTGGGTTTAAGAATCACGTGCATAAGTGGCGGGGATCCAGCTCTGGCCCATGTCTGCGCAAATGGAACAACTTCATTGTCCACCAGAAAAACAACAGCGAAGGGAAGGTGCCCTAGATGCAAGGCAACCTGCTGCTTTAAGGTCAGGATGGTGTCGTCATCTGATACGAACAAGGCACAAACCGTCACTCCTGTGCAAGCCATCTGGAACGAGACAATTTCACTACCGCCTTCAACATCGTCGGCCAATGGGAACATGAAGCTTTGCTGTCTCATGATCTTGCAAGTGTTCCACAAAGCAGAACGCCCACACAAATCCACTAGTTCCTCCGTGTGCCGCGCCAACACCTCAAACATGGGCAGCCTATACCAGCACTCATCCATGCAGACAGCTATGCATAGCCCAGGCGGGGCCAAGGAAAATCCAGAATCACCGGGGAAATGCTGGCTCAAAACATCTGCACCGAACCAGATCAAAACCTGGAGCGTGCCGAACTGTTGGCTGGAATCTGTGCACATGGTATGATGGATGGGCCGTAGGCCTTCATGGTCTGGCAGCTTTCGATCAGGGGCTGACCGGAGCATCTCCAATGCGCCTACTGGGTCTGTCTGGCTAGCGGCAATGTGAGATGCGGCCTGCAAGCATCCAGCTGGAATCGCGTTGCGATGAAAAATGGCGTGAATTAGGGCACTGTCCTGCAAGATACAATTTGGATTCTGCTCCCGCCCCAAAATTTCCACCTCAGATCCGCCCCGCGCATCTTGCCGCCAGTGTTTGCAAGCCCTTTCCCACTGCCTTTTGCTGACATTGTGGTCGCATGGGTTGGGGATGGCCTTCAAGCTGACACCGCCGCTGGCAATTTGGTGCCGATTCTGGCGCAGCAGCGTAATATACAAGCGCAATCTCTTGCTCACGCGGCTTTCCTCCACTGAGCCCACTTCGGATATCAAATTGCTACAGAACAAGCTGCGGGTGGATGACAGGCAGCTGTTCCATTCTGACTGAGACGTGTGGAGGAATGGACATGGGATGCGGGTCCACAATTCCGGCTTGGCTGTCAACAGCGCTATGTAGTCAGCACACAGCCCTTCAAAGGCAGCAATGCGACTTTCCAGGAAATCTGGGAAAAGCATGAAGATTGGCACTGAGACAGGCTTGGAGCCAACCAAGGATCTGGGACTGGAAAACTCACTGTCCAGGAAATTTGGCTGCTCAAACAACGTGCTAGTGCTAGATGCATCCGAAGTAGGTTGCGTTAGGGCTCCGCCCTGGAAATCGATGGGCGAGCACGCATCAACCGCTCTGTCAGCCCGCAGGGGGATGACCTGGAAGATGGCCTCGAATGAGCTCGTATCGAACTTATTGGCGTCACAATCAATGCCGATGTGGCATCTGCACGACGTTTGCAACCGACAAGTGCCATCAGAAAAGGCCCGGAAGCCTTGGAAATGATTGCGGCGATACAGCACGTACTTCCCAGTTGGAAGCACCGACGGGGCTACCCTGAGCATAGTAATAATATACCTGATGCAGGGACGACAATTAAGCAAACCTGCATTGCTCGACTGAATAATCCCGACAACATGCTCCAATGGCCGCCAAGCTGCCCCAAAGGCTCCAACATTTTGGCTCCGTCAGACACGGCCCAGAATGGACCGGGGCCCGTATAAGGTACCTTGATACCAATGGAGCGGAAGGCGTCCACCAGGCAGGTGTCCTTGAAGGGCATTTCGACCGAAGCTTTTTTCCTGGGATTGCACTCATCTACGATCTTCCAACTACCCTTAATCCAATGATGTCCTTTTTGTGGGTGGTTGCTGTTACCGGGTTGATAATTGTTTGTGTTTATCAGCTTCCACAAAGTCCTGTCCAATATGCCAACACCGCCTGCGTTTACCTGTGTTTGTAGAATGGTGCGAACAAAGAACTTGAACAATGAACCTGAAAACAACATGCCATCACTGCAGCTACATAGCATCGGTAGCTTGAAGTCAGACAACTTGCCACGCGCTGGCTGCGCCTTCTCACGCGGACCTGAAGGGAGCCATGACATCGTCACATAGACGCTAACCGGAGCACTGACATGAAGGACCTTCTTTGCATCTAAGAGGCAATGGAGACGTTCTTGAGCAACAAGTTCTGCGTACTCATCGAAGATTGCGTCTGCGGCCTTGTCCATGCGCTTCAATCTCCGAGTCCGGGATTTGATGGCATTGACATGGACATTGGTCCAATACACGTCTTCGTAGCGACGTCGCCGCTGACGCTTGGTAATGCCCGGCCTCGAATGCGGAATTTTATCGACCACGTCGTATTTTGCACTTGCATGTGGCAATGTTTCTTTGTTCCATACATCACTGCAAAAAAGATACTCCCGCAATCTGCTGTATACGGCTCCTTGCTGTGACCTCATGAAGACTGGCAAGCAGAAGCAGCTAAACTGTTGTTCCAAGCCTGGATGGCACTGTTTGAAGCTAAGTGGCAGGAGGGCATCCATGGCAAAGCACCTGCGTCGCAGACAATGTGTAGCAAACAAAGGTGAGCCACAAGGACAAGTCATGCATCCATCATATTGAAGTTATACTTGCTGCCAAGCTTCTTATCCGACTCATCGCAGCCTGTCCTGACACACTGGCGGATTGAATACTACTTGCTTCTTTGGTGTTTTTTAGTAGACAGAAGCTCTTGTGTTCTACTCAAGTTTTGCAAGCACCGTGTAAATTAGTTGGACCAAGGGACTTAGGGAGGCTGCTGTCATCCGCCTTCTTGCCAGGGCCCCTGGGTGGAGGACAGTTTGCTTGCCAATGGACCAGCATGAACCGCTGGAATTTCTACGTTTTTCCTCTCTACGTGCAGGCAAAGCGCCATCCATGAAACCTCCTGTAGAAGACAGGTCGCGCCAGGCGACGCCAAGAGTGAGAACAGGACGTTGGCAGCCGGGCCGTCGAACAGAGCCGGGAGGTAATTTTCTGGACGAGGCCATCACCTGCAACAAACAACACAGAATTCGAAGGTAAGGGCCACTCATAGGAAGAAACTTTGTTTACAAGTGTTATACAGGAACAAAATCTGTATGGCACAAAGCTAGGGCCACTGACACCAACGAGTATTCTGCCACAAGCCAGTCGTCGCACTCTTCTCGCAAGCAATCTCGCACTCCCAGCGCTTCCCAATGCAGAAACGCTTCCCTGAAGAAGCGCCACGGGCAGGCAAGCCCCAGGCAAGGCAGACAGAAGTTTGGCAGGCGGAAGGCATATCATATGCGTCCAAGGGACAGCGTCCTTGCTCACGGCATTCATGATCGCACTCGTGCTCCAGACGCTTCCGAATGGATTCCATAAAGTATCTGCCTGGATGGGTCTAGCAGTGCAGCACACACACAGAACAAACACACACAAGCACCGTCAGCTTCGGGCAGCCCATGTTAATCCATGAGGTTCTAAACCAAGGGTCACCAAGACGCATGCTCGTCTTGCTGCCGGCGCAATCGATCAACCACTGCAACCATGAAATATTGGCCTGAGTGCGGCTGCTTGGGGCACTCAGGCAAGGACCATCGCCTATACCGCACATGAAGCAACGTCTAGTCATTTGCCGCTTTGAGACTTTGCTACCCGCTCACGTTTCTTAAGTTAATGACACCAGCCCGTCTCCACGCAATCCACATCTCCTCGCCATACCAGAGGCCCCCACCGTCCTTCACACAGCTTTCAAACTTAAAAGCAATTGTCACCTTGCACCCTATTTTGGCGAACCCGGAACAATGGCTATACAGTTCATGTTTTCAACATCATGAATCATGCCTCAGTAGCTGCCATCAAGAGATGCCATGTGCAAACAACAGGCCTTCAATGTGGCCTCGTTGGTTAAACTTCATGCTTTCGTCAGCACCTGGGCATGCAAGCGGTGGGAGCTGAACGAAAAAGGAACGGCACATCCCAGTCCATGACATAGACAGAATGTATCTTTACTTAGCAGCACCGATGTTTGCGGCCGAGGCACATCGGGATGGCTTACGACACATATGCAGCAACAATGCCGCGCCATGGTAGCACCCCAAGTTGCGCACACCCTCAGCTGCCAATCCGAGAGGATCAAAAGGCATCATGGCAACCCAAGTGTTGGAGGCGAAGTAAGCGAAGTTGCGACAAAACGCTAGAGGCGAAGTTGCTGCGGCGATGCGAGCGACAGCATTGCAGTCTTGCGGCGACATTGGTAGCTTTGTCCTTTTCCCACCTCTTATCTACCGAACTGTCTGTACTTACTACGCACCATGAGTTTTGCAAAGGCAATGGACTGCAGCCCCGCGATCTTGCCTGCAGCAGCTTATCTACCATATCATAGGGCGCTTGGTCACCGCCACCTGCCACCTGCAAAGCCGTTGCTGGCGACGCCATTCGCAACAATATTGCGTTTCCACCGTAAACGATGAGATGCATAGAGAATTGATGAAGCATTGCTTAGTAATTCGAGTCCACGCCCTGCATATCAGAAACCACAGGATTGGTCATTCAAAGAAAACAAATTGCTGACTCAGACTCGGCGCTGCTACTATGCAATTTCAACATGCGCTCTTCATGGCAAGTGTCCTTGTCTTTGGATGCTCAGCAGTGCTGCTCCACTACCACATGAAGTTCCAGGTGAACCCAAGGGTTAACCTGGAGGCTTCATGCTGTGCATTGTTCTGCTATGAGTATTTGCTTGCTCTCTATGGGAGGGATGCCCTTTTGTCTGTGATGCTGTGGCTCCTGACACACTGCTGGGCCTCAAGCTGCAGGACAACTCTGCTTGTGCACGCTTGCACTCAGCAGTGCTGCTCCACTACCACATAAAGTTCCAGGTGAACCCAAGGGTTGACCTGGAGGCTTCATGCTGTGCATTGTTCTGCTATGAGTATTTGCTTGCTCTCTATGGGAGGGATGCCTTTTTGTCTGTGATGCTGTGGCTCCTGACACACTGCTGGGCCTCAAGCTGCAGGACAACTCTGCTTGTGCACGCTTGCACTCAGCAGTGCTGCTCCACTACCACATGAAGTTCCAGGTGAACCCAAGGGTTAACCTGGAGGCTTCATGCTGTGCATTGTTCTGCTATGAGTATTTGCTTGCTCTCTATGGGAGGGATGCCCTTTTGTCTGTGATGCTGTGGCTCCTGACACACTGCTGGGCCTCAAGCTGCAGGACAACTCTGCTTGTGCACGCTTGCACTCAGCAGTGCTGCTCCACTACCACATGAAGTTCCAGGTGAACCAAAGGGTTAACCTGGAGGCTTCATGCTGTGCATTGTTCTGCTATGAGTATTTGCTTGCTCTCTATGGGAGGGATGCCTTTTTGTCTGTGATGCTGTGGCTCCTGACACACTGCTGGGCCTCAAGCTGCAGGACAACTCTGCTTGTGCACGCTTGCACTCAGCAGTGCTGCTCCACTACCACATGAAGTTCCAGGTGAACCAAAGGGTTAACCTGGAGGCTTCATGCTGTGCATTGTTCTGCTATGAGTATTTGCGTGCTCTCTATGGGAGGGATGCCTTTTGTCTGTGATGCTTTAGCTCCTGACACAATGCTGGGCCTCAAGCTGCAGGACAGCTGTGCTTTTGCACGTTGACATGCAGGAGTGTTGCTTTTGCAAGGGTTAACCTGGAGGTTCTTTGCCGTATACACATTGTTACGCTGTTATTTTACTTCGTTGTGCTGTTGTTGTTTTTTACGAACCATATTACCTAGCATTTCTTCTCACACTTGGTCGGCAACATATTAACTGATTCGCAACATTGATTCATATCTATCAATCTATCTACCTATCCATCCATCTATCTATCTATCTATCCATCCATCCATCTATCTATATGAGCTTTTTCTTTATGCAATTCCCTTGCCTAGTAAACTCCCAAAGCACGCCATTCACCAGAACCCCATGTAACCATCAATTGTTCATTGTGGTGAGCCAGCAATTAGCTGCGTCCGACGCCCGACTCGCCATTTAGAAGACAAATCATGTTAACTTGTTAACAAACCCGTGTTAGCATATTCGCGCACGAATATGGTAACACACTACTTAATGTTTTCTTCAACATTCCATTTTGGGCTGCCCTGAATATTTCAAGCAGCCGAGGCGCCGAACAAGATGATGGAACAAGAGTTCGGTTGCTTCGGATCTCATTGAAATCCTGCATGGAGGGCGAAGTGAAAGTCAACTGGAAATCAAATCATTGCAGGCTTGATCTAACCAAAGACTGGAAGAGGAAATCACACATGGGAGGTGAAACTGGCAAAACGTGAGAATGTCCATGCGAATCAACTAGCAATAATTTGAAAATCTTCGTGCACGTGTTGCACCCAAGAAAGTGATGGTACAACCCAATGGCAAACATTAGCTCGCAACAAGAACCTACAAGAAACGCAAAAATCCATCAAGAGAAATTGATTGACAAGCATCAGCCATCAGGTGTGCAACTCTGAGCTTAGTTTGTCGCTTAGTCCGGTTCAAAGGGGGAACTGTGAGTTTGCTTCTACGCCATAATGACAACACATTCGGTTGCATGAAACATAGCAGCATAGCATATGAATACGAGCTGACTGCCGATCAGGAACCCTGTAGTCAGAGGCCAGCGAAGCCAGCGAAGCCAGCGAAGCCAGCGAAGCCACAGGTGTCTCACAAGCACTGTCTGGCACCGCCTGCCGGAAGAATGCAGACCCCAAACAGTGCGTAGTTACGATTCGAAAGGGGAAGGTGGAAAGGGTCTTTAAAAAAATTGGCCACAAGCTAGCAGGACAAGAGCGACCCTAGTAGTGAAAGCATTGTGTTGCAAGTTACCTTTGTGAAGATCTCCATACAAGATCGTGCGCAAGATCTCCTTGACAGGTTCTCTGTAGAAGCTGCTGTGCAAGATCTCCGCGAAGGTCGACTGTACAAGGTGTCTACAGGAGATCTCCACGGAAAAATCTTTGTAAGGGATCTCAAAATAAGATCGCTGATCAAGCTAGCTATCAACGATCTCCGAGCAAGACTTTACTTTCCTCACCGAGCCTCTGTACAAGAACTCTATAAGAGATTTCATGGTAAGATCTCTGGAAGATGCCTCTTGGCGATCTCTGCGCAAGGTGTCTCTAAGAGCCCTCTATACAAGATCTCTACAGGATGTCTCCGTGGCAAGATCTCTTCGCAAGCTCCTAGAAATTGACAGGGAAGATGCCGGCCGTAAGAACCCCAGGTGTGGCACACTGTTTGGGGAACGATGTGAGCGGCGCCTTCAACCGGCTCTCTGGGATCCACGACTCACAGTCTGGTTGACGGTGAACACCTCCAAGCATGGGCCGGCAGATCACCGAAAAATCTTGAGGATTCAGTCAACCTCCTAAAAGCTGACAATCCCAACTAGATCCAAATAGTAGATGATTATTACCCTCTACTATGGGTTGTTGGTGAATACTTCGTCATTTAAAAACTTTTTGGTTTGGGGGGGGCACCTTTGAGCCTTGCAGAGGAAGGGCAACTACTCGGGTCTTAAACCTTATCAATTCCATGCTATTCGCCAACAGAAACCAAGTGTCAAAAAAATATATGTTACCTATTAGGACTCCCACTCATTAGACAATGATCCCCGAATACTTGAGTAACAAACCCCGTCTTGTTGGCCGCATTAAAACTATATGCCCCATCTATATCCATCAGTACCCATCAACTCAATCCATTCGAAACAGTCAAGGAACAGGGTGCACAACTTAAAGTGCAACCTAGGCGCTTCGGGAAAGTAGATATTTTCCATCTAACGCAATCCCATAGACAAAAAGGCGATGTGTGCTGCCATTGCTGTCCTCATAATCCACCGCAGCACCGAGCCCATATTTGACAGGCATGGCTAACAAGTAGCGCAGCGTGACCGAGCTTGAAACTGAAAGGGCTGTGCAACAGTCACAACCCAATAGACTGGCTAAGACAAAAATTTGTCTAATCCCTATTCTGTAGAAATCTGACTATTAGGTAGACTTTTTTTTTCTAAGATAACTTTTTTTTGTCCAAGACAAATTTTGAAAATTTGTCTTAGACAAAAAATATTTGTCTTAGACAGTTTTTTTTGTCTTAGCCAAATTGAAACTACATCAGTTTTTTCAAACTGCCTCAAAACTGCCTCAAAACTGCCTCAAAACTGCCTCCAAAACTGCCTCCAAACTACCTTATCATTTTTCTATCATTTGGTGGAGGGTGTGCAAAAAGTATCAAAGAGTAAGAGAAATAGTGAGGCAGTTTCCCCAAAAATCACCAAAAAAGTGAGGAAGTTTCCCTTTAAAACATGAGGTAGTTTGAAGGCAGTTTCACAAAACACACGAGGAAATTTCAAGGAAATTTCCTCGAAACTTCCTCACGGAGGATTGGCAAAAAATCTGCCTTAGACAACTTTATTTGTCTAAGACTGGTGTCTTAGACAAATTTGTCGAGCAAAAATTTGTCTAAGACAAATTTTTAAAATTTGTCTATTAGACAAATTTAAAAATCTGAGACTATTAGACAAATTATTGGGAACAATTCAAGATGCAGAGACGCTGCCACAGTCTTAAAGGCACGAGGGCCAGTCTTAAGGCACGAGGGCTGGTCTTAAGCCACGAGGGCCGGTCTTGAGGCACGAGGGCCAGTCTTAAGGCACGAGGGCCAGTCTTAAGGCACGAGGGCCAGTCTTAAGGCACGAGGGCCAGTCTTGAGGCACGAGGGCCCGTCTTAAGGCACGAGGGCCAGTCTTAAGGCACGAGGGCCAGTCTTAAGGCACGAGGGCCAGTCTTAAGGCACGAGGGCCAGTCTTAAGGCACGAGGGCCAGTCTCAAGGCACGAGGGCCAGTCTTGAGGCACGAGGGCCAGTCTTAAGGCACGAGGCCAGTCTTAAGGCACGAGGGCCAGTCTTTAAGGCACGAGGGCCAGTCTTAAGGCACGAGGGCCAGTCTTGAGGCACGAGGGCCAGTCTTGAAGCACGAGGGCCAGTCTTAAGGCACGAGGGCCAGTCTTGAGGCACGAGGGCCAGTCTTGAGGCACGAGGGCCAGTCTTGAGGCACGAGGGCCAGTCTTAAGGCACGAGGGCCAGTCTTAAGGCACGAGGGCCAGTCTTAAGGCACGAGGGCCAGTCTTAAGGCACGAGGGCCAGTCTTAAGGCACGAGGGCCAGTCTTGAGGCACGAGGGCCAGTCTTGAGGCACGAGGGCCAGTTTTGAGGCACGAGGGCCAGTCGGACAAGGTCAGGGGTCAGAAAAACCAGGGGTCAAAAAAACAGGTGCCCAGGGGTCAAAAAAACAGGCAGGGGTCAAAAAAACAGGGTCAGGGGTCAAAAAAACATTGGGCCCGCCTTAAGGCACGAGAAAAATCAAAAAAATCAAAAAAAAATGAAAGTCCCAAAAAGAAAGAAATGGAATTCAAAAAATTCAAAAAATTCAAAAAAAAATATGTATTCATTTTTTTTGGCTGAATTTTTTGAATTCCATTTCTTTCTTTTTGGGACTTTCATTTTTTTTTGAATTTTTTGAATTCAAAAAATTCAAAAAAAATATGTATTCACTTTTTTTTTTGAATTTGTTGAATTTTTTGAATTCAAAAAATTCAAAAAGTTCAAAAAAAATTATGTATTCACTTTTTTTTTTGAATTTTTTGAATTCAAAAAATTCAAAAAAATCAAAAAAAATTATGTATTCACTTTTTTTTTTGATTTTTTTGAATTTTTTGAATTCAAAAAATTCAAAAAAATTATGTATTCACTTTTTTTTTGATTTTTTTGAATTCAAAAAATTCAAAAAATTCAAAAAAAAATGAAAGTCCCAAAAAGAAAGAAATGGAATTCAAAAAATTCAAAAAATTCAAAAAAAATATGTATTCATTTTTTTTGAATTTTTTGAATTTTTTGAATTCCATTTCTTTCTTTTTGGTATATAGATTAACTAGTAGGGATTCTCCAGAAAGAGGTATAATTTCAATAAAATCCTTTCGACATGCAAACGTTCAAATAGTACATAAAGGTCCATCGTACATATATATATATATATATAAATATATACATATATATATATACATATATATATACATATATATATACATATATGTATGTATATATATGTATATATTTATATATTTGTTGTCTTTGAATATATATATATTTATATACATATATATATAATTTGTATATGTATCTCAACATGTTTTTAGAGATATGTACCGGAATTTAGGATTGGCGCCACGGTGAACTTAATTACATAGACCCAGGATTATTTGGAATTTGACATGTGGTCCATGATTTCGCCGTCTGGAAGCATTGAAATGCTCAGTCCGCCCAATGTAGTGGGTTTTTACCCAATGTAGTACCATGTAGTGCCATGTTACCCTTGCATCGTGACTGGCATAGAAAGTATGCTCCATGGCCAAAAGAAACTCTCGACAGTTACCTTACGCTCTTGCATCAGTTAGAACTTGGCAGAAAGTACAAAAAGGAAGTCTTGCATGCCGCAGCTCGTGTCCTCGGAATGTCAACCGGCAATTCGGAGGAGCACCTGGAATGTTGGGAGCAGATGGGTGTGGTCCGCTTCTTGCCGGATGATTTTTTCGAGCTGAACTCTGAGCATGCTGTCTTTCAGCCTTCGACGCCTCCCAGAAAACCCATACCCGTAGCTGGTCGTGATCAGTTCATCATGTCTTCACGTTGAAGATTGCAGATTTTGACATGCGCTTGGGTACATGTTTATAGATGACTTTGTTCATCAGTTTCCTGAATGATTGTTTGGGTCACATCACTTCTCTTTCAGGTGCTCGACAGTCCCGAAGTGCAGCAGATGATGCGTGCTCCGATAGTGTTGGATGACGAGGAGGATGAGGAACCGTTGCATGCCGGTCCCCCGTCTCCATCTTTGAGTGTCCGTGATGCATGGTCACCGATTCGTGGCAGTGAAAGTCCACCGCACCTGCAATGGAAACATTATGTGGCAGATCATTTGCAGAAATCAGACTTGGTGCCTCGTTTGTCTTCAGAAAAATCATACAGTTTTTTTGTTGGGTCGACACGTCTGTGATTTGAAATTGTTTCTGGCAGTCGTGCTAAGAAACGATATTACCCCATGAATGCGAGCCATCCAGAGGTTGCGCATATGCTACATGGAGAAGAACAATGGTTAGAAGAGTTGGTATCGCGATCCGAACCTTTCAGAAGGAGTTTGTCTACCCATGATCCCGACGTAGCCCGGCACCTGCGTGGAGAAGAGGAATGGTTGGAAGATTTACTGTCGCGGTCGGAACCTCTGATAGCAAGTCCAAAGAGCAGAGATGTGGCAGCGGCTTCTTCTTCTCAGTGTCACATCGTCTCAGTGGCTTGACTAGCAAACCAACTCAAAGCTTCAAGTTCGGAGCATGTCCGCAGCACGGAACAGCCCTGAGACCGCATATCTGGGGTCCTGGCAGCGTCAAAGCAGGACAAGCTGCCTTGGTCTGCAGCCGGTTCTGGAAACGAGATGAACGAGATAGACCCGGTTGTTGGTTCTATCGCAAGGTCAGTGCCCAGGAAGCTTCCACTTGGCCTCGCTTCAATCGCACTCAGTTTCATTCTTTGAAGAACCGCTTTCTGCGGGCAGGGTTGGATGACTGAAACGCTCAGATGTCAAAAAGCAGCTGCGGACTGTTGAACCCATCAGTTATACGTTCATTGACGTAGAAGAAAAGCAACATGTATCCGTACTTCAATTAGAAAGGATTTGACAGTAAGGACATCTTCGCTGCGTCTCAGCCATGCATTCTTGCGTCGAATTTCATAGCTATTAATATCTCTTATATAAGGTATCCAGGTGGGATCCAGGTCCTCTGGCAGGTGGAGCCTTCGCATTAGGAAGATACCTCTGATTATATTTATATATATATGTCTCTCTTCTTAAAATCATATGGTATTATCTCCTCAGGAAAACATCCTGTTGTTGCATGCATAGACAAACATGTTGGCCAGACTTTGTTGCTCAAAGTCTCACCGCAAAATGAAGCGGCCCGCGAGGGCACAAGGTCGAGCGACGCACCGTTGCTCGGTCTGTGGCTCCACTACGCATAGGCTGGAGACGTGTGAAGAACCTGGTGCGCAAAAAATCAGAGAACTCCAGAAGAAGATCCGAGTCTTGACAGCTGGGCGTCCTAAGAACAAAATTCTTCGTCAAGAGCACAAGACCCGCAAGAGTGACAAAGTAGATGGCAAATATGCATCTAAGGCCATGAAAGCTTACACAGGGAATAACGGACCTCGAAAACCAAGTCCGGCGGAAGCTCGGAGAACCTTGCATGGTCGAGTGAAACAGAGCAGTCGCATGAGTGACCGTGATGCTGTCGCTTGGCTGCTGGAAAATGAATGGATTAAAAAACCCAAGACTTGTCCGGAATGCGGAGCGAAGCATCTCTCTGACCTGGTGTGGCCCGCGGATCGCACATGTCACTGGCGATGTTGCTCTTGTGAGAACAGATGCCTTCTGTTCGGAAATTCCATCTTCAATGGTTTGCGCTGTGGACCGGCAGGTTTGGTGGATCTGTTGAATAGCTACTGTTCGTTGGATGCGAACAAGTGTCCGAATGTGGTGGACATGATTCAAGACAGTGGCTTTGGCAGAAGCACAGTGGAACATTTCTTGTCTGCTCTGAGAGCTCTCGAAGCTCTAGCTGGTTCAGAATTACAAGCAACTATGCAGTTGAGCGGAAACATCGAAGTCGATGGCACGTTCCTCTCCTCCTTTCCCATCTCAGCCAACAACTCTCACTACTATGATCAGATCTGGAAGATTAGAGAAAAGGCCCGGACCCAGAAGAAGACGATTCCAGACAAGTTTCTTGTCGAAAGGAATTTAAAGTTTTGTTTGCTTTCAAATACACACCACCAAAAAAAAACATAGCAGATTGCGATGCTGCAGGTTCGTTGCCCATGTCATGGTTCTCGGTGCTCTTCGCCGAGGAGGAACTCATCTATTAGCTGCGACCCGTCCGCGAGTCACACCCAAGGGTGAGTATCTTAGCCGCATTGATCCTTCTGCCTGGAAAAAAGAACCATGCTATTGGAATATGTTACATTTTAGTCTTATTGAAATGTCCTACGTGAAAAACAAAAGTCCTATCATGATCTCCCAAAATGATTAAGTCAAAGACTATATAAAATACTTGATCTGAACGCGTCGTCCAAATCGTGCCCAGGCGTCCCCCGACCGAGTCCATTGCGCAAGTTGAAGAATCTGGCTTATTGGATCATATACCAAAGAGGACTGAGTGCTGCTCCCAAATTTCCACCTCAAATATTGAGACGATAGTACGCATAAACATTATGACATAAGTGTCATGGATGTCATGTGATTGCAAAATGAATGAATCCATCCCTCCGTCGCTCTTACACCTGGTGGGAAGGAAAGGCGTCACCGTCTTCGCTGATGGAAACTTAGCTTGGGCGCACGGTTGCAGGAAAAGAGGCCTTGAATGTGAACAGGTCACCCATCAGGTCAAGCAATTCACCCGTCCTGTGATGAGAAAACCGTCATCTGTACTCAGTTCGGTTGCCGGTACTCAGAGTATTGACAGGGCATGGCTTGCACTCAAAGCTTGGCTACCCCAAAAATTGAAGACATACGAAAAGAGAAATGGCCATCACAAAATTAGTCAAGGTGTGCATTCAATGATCCAGCAATGGATGTGGCGTCAAACAATTTTGCCGTGTTCTCCCAAAGAATTGATGTCATGCCTTGTCGATCTGCTGAAGAAATATCATGACTTTCAATGACGGCTTCATCCACTGAAACAAATAGTTTGACTGCATTGCAAAATGACTAAAAAACATATTTTTCCCCATCTAATTACGAGATGAAGCCGCTTTAACCAATGGCACGGCTGCATGAAAGATCCAAAATGGACTGGAATGCTCTGACCACTGTAAATCAGCAGAAAAACAAATGCTCCGCATTGCTGGTGTGCCGAATTCCTCACGGCCACCTGTGAGCCGTGGACCTAGTTAGTAGTAGTAAGTAGTAAGTAGTAGTAAGTAGTAAGTAGTAGTAAGTAGTAAGTAGTAGTAAGTAGTAAGTAGTAGTCAGTAGTAAGTAGTAGTAAGTAGTAAGTAGTGGCAAGTAGTAAGTAGTAGTAAGTAGTAAGTAGTAGTAAGTAGTAAGTAGTAGTAAGTAGTAATTAGTAGTAAGTATTAAGTAGTAGTAAGTAGTAAGTAGTAATAAGTAGTAAGTAGTAGTAAGTAGTAAGTAGTAGTAAGTAGTAGTAAGTAGTAAGTATGAGTAAGAAGTAAGTAGTAGTAAGTAGTAAGTAGTAGTAAAGAGTAAAAAGTAGTAAGTAGTAAGTAGTAGTAAGTAGTAAGTAGTAGTAAGTAGTAAGTAGTAAGTAGTAAGTAGTAAGTATTAAGTAGTAAGTAGTAAGTAGTAAGTAGTAAGTAGTAATAAGTAGTAAGTCGTAATAAGTAGTTCGTAGTAGTTAGTCGTAGTTAGTAGTAGTTAGTAGTAGTTAGTAGTAGTTAGTAGTAGTAAGTAGTTAGTAGTAGTTAGTAGTAGTTAGTAGTAGTTAGTAGTAGTTAGTAGTAGTTAGTAGTAGTTAGTAGTAGTTGGTAGTAGTTGGTAGTAGTTGTTAGTAGTTGGTAGTAGTTAGTAGTAGTTAGTAGTAGTTAGTAGTAGTTAGTAGTAGTTAGTAGTAGTTAGTAGTAGTTAGTAGTAGTTAGTAGTAGTTAGTAGTAGTTAGTAGTAGTAGTAGTAGTAGTTAGTAGTAGTTAGTAGTAGTTAGTAGTAGTTAGTAGTAGTTAGTAGTAGTTAGTAGTAGTTAGTAGTAGTTAGTAGTAGTTAGTAGTAGTTAGTAGTAGTTAGTAGTAGTTAGTAGTAGTTAGTAGTAGTTAGTAGTAGTTAGTAGTAGTTCGTAGTAGTTAGTAGTAGTTAGTAGTAGTTAGTAGTAGTTAGTAGTAGTTAGTAGTAGTTAGTAGTAGTTAGCAGTAGTTAGCAGTAGTTAGTAGTAGTTAGTTAGTAGTAGTTAGCAGTAGTAGTTAGCAGTAGTAGTTAGCAGTAGTAGTTAGTAGTAGTAGTTAGTAGTAGTAGTAATAGTAGTAGTAGTAGTAGTAGTAGTAGTAGTTAGTAGTAGTTAGTAGTAGTTAGTAGTAGTTAGTAGTAGTTAGTAGTAGTTAGTAGTTAGTTAGTAGTTAGTTAGTAGTAGTTAGTAGTAGTTAGTAGTAGTTAGTAGTAGTTAGTAGTAGTTAGTAGTAGTTAGTAGTAGTTAGTAGTAGTTAGTAGTAGTTAGTAGTAGTTAGTAGTAGTTAGTAGTAGTTAGTAGTAGTTAGTAGTCGTTAGTAGTCGTTAGTAGTAGTTAGTAGTCGTAGTAGTCGTAGTAGTGGTAGTAGTGGTAGTAGTGGTAGTAGTGGTAGTAGTGGTAGTAGTGGTAGTAGTGGTAGTAGTGGTAGTAGTGGTAGTAGTGGTAGTAGTGGTAGTAGTGGTAGTAGTGGTAGTAGTGGTAGTAGTGGTATTAGTGGTAGTAGTGGTAGTAGTGGTAGTAGTGGTAGTAGTGGTAGTAGTGGTAGTAGTGGTAGTAGTGGTAGTAGTGGTAGTAGTGGTAGTGGTAGTGGTAGTGGTAGTGGTAGTGGGAGTGGGAGTGGTAGTGGTAGTGGTAGTGGTGGTGGTGGTGGTGGTGGTGGTGGTAGTAGTTGTTGTTGTTGTTGTTGTTGTTGTTCTTGTTCTTGTTCTTGTTCTTGTTATTGTACGTGTTGTTCTTGTTCTTGTTGTTCTTGTTCTTGGTGTTCTTCTTGTTCTTGTTGTTTTTTTTGTTCTTGTTGTTATTGTTGTTATTGTTGTTCTTTTTGTTCTTGTTGTTTGTTGTTTGTTGTTTGTTGTTTGTTGTTTGTTGTTTGTTGTTGTTGCTGCTGCTGCTGCTGCTGGTGTTGTTGTTGTTGTTGCTGTTGCTGTTGCTGTTGTTGTTGTTGTTGGTTGTTGTCGTTGTCGTTGTCGTTGTTGTTGTCGTTGTCGTTGTCGTTGTCGTTGTCGTTGTTGTTGTTGCTGTTGTTGTTGTTGGTTGTTGGTTGTTGGTTGTTGGTGTTGTTGGTGTTGTTGGTGTTGTTGGTGTTGTTGGTGTTGTTGGTGTTGTTGGTGTTGTTGTTGTTGTCGTTGTTGTCGTTGTTGTCGTTGTTGTTGGTTGTTCTTGCCAACGGCGCCATTTACGACTCGATGGCAAAATGCAAATTTCATGTTCTTGTGATGAAGATGCTACGCCGCATGTCGGTTGGGTGGGGGTGGGGGGCACTGATAACGTTCCTGTTGATGCTACACAACTCACAGCTCTACGCAGCAACCGCAGGGGACAAGCTACGCAGCATGTGATGAAGATGCTACGCCACATGTGGGTTTGGTGGGGATGGGGTGGGGCTCTGATAACGTTCCTGTTGATGCTACGCAACTCACAGCTCTACGCAGCAACCGCAGGGGACAAGCTACGCAGCATGTGATGAAGATGCTACGCCGCATGTGGGTTGGGTGGGGATGGGGTGGGGCTCTGATAACGTTCCTGTTGATGCTACGCAACTCACAGCTCTACGCAGCAACCGCAGGGGACAAGCTACGCAGCATGTGATGAAGATGCTACGCCACATGTGGGTTGGGTGGGGATGGGGTGGGGCTCTGATAACGTTCCTGTTGATGCTACGCAACTCACAGCTCTACGCAGCAACCGCAGGGGACAAGCTACGCAGCATGTGATGAAGATGCTACGCCACATGTGGGTTGGGTGGGGATGGGGTGGGGCTCTGATAACGTTCCTGTTGATGCTACACAACTCACAGCTCTACGCAGCAACCGCAGGGGACAAGGTACGCAACATGTGATGAAGATGCTACGCCACATGTGGGTTGGGTGGGGATGGGGTGGGGCACTGATAACGTTCCTGTTGATGTTACACAACTCACAGCTCTACGCAGCAACCACAGGGGACAAGGTACGCAACATGTGATGAAGATGCTACGCCACATGTGGGTTGGGTGGGGATGGGGTGGGGCACTGATAACGTTCCTGTTGATGCTGCGCAATTCAGCTGTTGGATGGCTTGTGGAAGATTCTCAATTTTTTTTCCAATTTGCGAACTCGCGGGAAGTTAGATCGCCGTGTCGACCAGCGCTTGCTGAACCAGATTAAAGCCTTCATGTACAGACACAACTCAGGTCATAACCTGTGGAAGGAACTGAGAAAGCTGGCCAAGAAGAGTCGACGCTGAACAACTTGCAAGGGTGAGTTGAAAAATGAGTTATGCTGAATGACTGGTGGAACCGATGTGACTGAATCTGGCCAACAGAAGAAAAAACAATTACTTTACTTCGTGTGATCCCCACCATGACATTTATACATTTTCTTACTGGCAAATCTTCTGGCATTTTATCTGACATATCTTCTGACATTCTATTTGGCATTCTATCTGGCATATCTTCTGGCATATGATCTGGCATATCTTCTGGCATATCTTCTGGCATTCTATCTGACAAATCTTCTGGCATTCTATCTGGCATATCTTCTGGCATTTTATCTGACATATCTTCTGGCATTCAATCTGGCATTCTATCTGGCATATCTTCTGGCATATATTCTGACATATCTTCTGGCATTCTATCTGGCATATCTTCTGGTATATCTTCTGGCATATCTTCTGGCATTCTATCTGGCATATCTTTTGGCATATCTTCTGGCATATTATCTGGCAAATCTTCTGGGATTCTATCTGGCATATCTTCTGGCATATGTTCTGGCATATCTTCTGGCATTCTATCTGGCATATCTTCTGGCATATTATCTGGCAAATCTTCTGGGATTCTATCTGGCATATCTTGTGTCATTCTATCTGACATTTTATCTGGCATACCTTCTGGCATTCTATCTGGCATATCTCATGGCATTTTATCTTCTGCCATTCTATTTGGCATTCTATCCGGCAAATCTTCTGGCATTCTTTCTTTGTAACTTTCTTCTGCACATTCTTTGTCCCATATCTTCCTACATGAGGTCCGGCAGGGAACACTTGGCATGGATACTCGCGGTTGAGGTCCGGCAGGGAACACTTGGCATGGATACTCGCGGTTGAGGTCCGGCAGGGAACACTTGGCATGGATAGGTCCGGCAGGGAACACTGGGCGT